CCAAAAAAAAAAAAAAAAACCGCTCCGGTTTCTGTCCACCCGCTGGGAGCCGGGGGGAGGGGCGCTCGGTTCCCGCCGGACTGGGGCTTGTATCTTACCCCCTTCGCAAGGCGCTGGGTTCTTGCAGGTGTGGATGTGGTCTGGATGTTGTCCTGTGTCCTCTGGTCTCTATTTTAGGAAGAGCTTTCTTTGTTATATTTTCATGGCTCTATGTGTTTTTGGGAGGAGATTTCCACTGCTCTACTCACGCTGCCATCCTGGCTCTGCCCTCATGGTCTTTTTAACTTTACAAATTTGATTTTTAAAATTTGAGGTGAAATTCACATAACAAATGAACCATTTTAAAGTGAACAATTCAGTCACATTTAGTATATTCATTGTTGTGCAACCACCACCTCTATTTAATTTCAAAGCATTTTCATCATCCCAAAGGGAAACTCCATATTCCTTTTCAAATTTGATTTTACAAGGGCTAGTTTGTTATAAAACTAAAAGCTAGGCAACTTAATGCCATCACCCAGCACACTTCCCTAACCTGTGCTTCAGAATCACCTGGGGAGAATGAAATGCAAACTCTTGACTCTAGAAGGTTTTGATTCAGCTAAAGTAGGGAACAGAAATCTATATTTTTCAAATTCAGAGGGATTTTAAGGTTGTGTGGGTTTTTGTACACCACCTTTTAGCCTTCATTCACTTACTTTGTCCTTTTTCCTTCCCCAGTTCCAGCTGTGCACTGCTTCCTCCAACTGCCCCTTATGTTTATTTAATGAATATTTTTTGATCACCTACAGTGGGAAATGAACATTTTAAATGCTGTAAGTGATATTGAGATAGTCAAGGAACTTACAGAGTAGTTCCTGATTCTGGAAACAGAATTTGTCAGTGAAGTATTTTCATTGTTATATAATCTTGAGAAGAAACAACATTTTATTGACTTACATTCCTGCATCAAGCAGTAATTGCCTTTTTTTGTCATTAATCTCATAGTTTTGAGCAGCTCACTTTTTTTTTATTAAGGTATTATTGACATACACTCTTATGAATGTTTCACATGAAAAACAATGGTTACTACATTCACCCATATTAGTAATTGCCTTTTAAGACCACAGAAACCAACTTGAAATAATAAATCTAACTACATTTCAAGCATAAAGAAGGCAATGATCATGTATATCTTACTCAGTGCTGTATCTGAAGCATCTTGCACATTGTTAAATGGGCACTCAGTAAGTATCTATGAATGAATGAGTAAGTTACTTTCATTGGGTTTGAGTTTGTAATTTGCTAAGCACTGGAGGTATTTAACAATTATAAAATATGTGCTACATGTTTTCCGTATTTTTTCCATCACAAACATTTAAATAATTTAGGAAGTAATGCCAAATGATTTGTCTTTTGTTCAGTTTTCAGTAGTTTACTATAAGGCCCATTTAAGAATACATACTTTTATACTTCAGTGCTTCATAAGTACATACCTGTTTTATTTTTTTAATCAGCAAATATTTATTAAGCACTTAGTATATGCCGATACTGTTCTAGGCTCTTGAAATGTAAGAGGAAACAAAACACAAAAATCCTTAGGCACTTAGAACTCACTTGCTTGTTTTTAAATGTAGCTTTATTGTGTTTTTTAAATTAATGGACTAATTTTTAGCATAGTTTCAGATTTACAGGAAAATTGGGTTGATAATACAGAGTTCCCATGTACCCTACCCACTGTCTACACACACACAGTTTCCCCTATTAACATCTTACATTAATGTTTGTCACAATTAACAAACTAGTATTGATATATTATTATTATCTAAAGTCCATACTTACTCATATTTTCTTAGTTTTTATCAAATGTCCATTTACTGTCCCAAGAGTCCATCCAGGATACCACATTACATTTATTTGTCATGTCTCTCCAGGCTCTTCTTGGCTGGGACAGTTTCTCAGATTTTCCGTGGTTTTGATGAACTTAACAGTTTTGAAGAACACTGGTCAGGTATATTATGAAGGTTCCTCTATTAGAATTTGTCTGATTTTTTTTTTCTAATTAGACTGGAATTATAGGTTTTTGGGAGGAAGACCACAGAGGTAAGGTGCCGTTTTCATCACATTGTATCAAGGGCAGATATTATCAACATGACTCATCTCTTCTGATGTTGACCTTGGCCACCTGGCTGAGGTAGTGTTTGTCAGGCTTTACTATAAAGTTACTCTTTTCTCCACTGTTCTATACTGTACTCTTTGGAAAGATGTCACTTTCTGCAGCCCAGGCTTAAGGAGCAGGCAGTGAAATTATTTGGAGTTCTGTATAGGAGATTTGTTCTCCCCCATTTATTTATTTAGTCATCTGTATCAGCATGGACTCATGTATATTTATTTATACTTTGGGTTATAATTTAATACTACTTTATTTTGTTGCTCTAATGGTTTTGTCTTTGGCCATGGGGAGCTCTTTTAGTTGGCTTCTGGGCTTCTTTGACTTAACTACCTCATTGGCTGCTTTTTTTTTTTTTT